ACTCATCATGGCCTAGGCCAGAGCCAACATCTACCCTGAGCAACAGCAGTGGCAGGAGGTGACACAAAGCCCTCTCCATCTCCTGTACCTGTTGCGGCAGGCTGGATGATGTCCTGAATACCTCCACATCCTAATCCCAGGAACCTACCAATGTTACCTTAAATGGCAAGTGGAAACTGCAGATGTGGTTACAAGCTTTGTCATGGGCAATGATCGTGAATTATCAGGGTGAGTATGTGATACACACCCGATATAATCACACAACAGTCCTTGTAAGAGAAGGAGGGGGAGATGAGGTGACAAAAGCTGTGGTTAAAGTGATGCCCTTGGAAGGTCAGCACAGCTAAGGAATGCAGGTGGCTTCAAGAAGCTACAGAAAGCAAGGACATAGACTCTCACTTGGAACCTTCTGAAACAACGCCCGCCTCCTGGCACCTTGGGTTTAGACTTGCGACTCCAGAACTGTACGAGCGAATGTATGCTGTTTTAAGCCACTATGTTTGTGGTCACTTGTTATAACTGCATTCAGAAGCAGTGCTGGATTTACCCTTCAAGTCTTTGGTGAATAATCTTTCTGTTTGTTTCTTTTCTTATTTGTCAGAGGATACATGCATTCTCCAGAGACAGGAAGGGGCGCGGTGGGGCAGGGAAAAAGCATCCCTCAAGGGGGTGTGGTCGCGCCACAATCCCTTTGCCTCCAGTTCCCTAGCCTGTTTAGATTCTGGACACACATGCCTGGTGTGTTTTCCAAGTCACTGGGGCTGGGATTCAAATCACAATAGGTCACATGGGATCTAGCTCCCTTAACCACTAGGCTACAGGATAACCCCTAAATCTTGCTTTTTTCAATGTAAAGGCGACTCGCTGTGGTTCGGTTGTTTTGCTTAGTTTTCCTCCTAGCCAGCTTTAAAACAGGGAGCATGAGTCATGACAGAAGTTGTATAAACACAGGCATCGTGGTTCTCCTAGTGATGATTTCTCGCACCCCAGACCCACTCAGGTTTAAGGAATAGTATCTGCATTTTTAGATGCGTGTATTTGATATACTTAGTGTGTACATACGTTTCTAATGTTTTAAATGCCTGAACTTAGCCAGCCAGCTGTGCCATGCGTGTGTGTGTGTGTGTGTGTGTGTGTGTGTGTGTGTCTGCCCTTGTGTGTAAATACTCTAAGTCAGCCTGCCAACTTGCTCTCAGATTTACTTTAAGTCATTTTGGGGAAAGAATCCTACCAAGAGCTGGCATTTCTAATTGCCTGAAGATAATAGAATGAGAAACACAGGGAAGAGAGCAAGTAAACTGTTATTAAATTCACAAAGCAAAGACACACACCAGGTCAGAAGATGACACTTAAATGTTCAAAGTGAGGAACTCCGACATCTACCAGAACTAAACGCTGTACTTAACGATGGTGTGGCGTCTTCCTTCCCTAGGAACGGCAAATGACAAGCATTCTCACATGCTATGAAAGCATCCAAGTTCTATTTTTAAAAATCCTTCAAATACTCAAGAACAATTTTAGAACTAGGTTTCCATGTCATTATTTTTAAAAGATCACTGGGACAAAAGAATGAATCAAAGGGGAAAAAATGAAAACCAGCAGAGCTAGCTGGTAAAAGTAGAACAAGGAAGGACAAGAGAAGCGGACATAGAAGGAGAGAGAAGGGGTATTAGACAGGCTCTATGGCCAGGCCATCCACGGGAGCAGCAAATCTGCCAGGCCAGTGGATGGTGGGCCTCCCGTGGGTCCTCCCACATGGGCAGGATGTGAAACCAGAAGACTTTCTATTGCAAGGGTTCAGGGCTGACTGCTGGTTCTTGCCATCTTTATTTTCTTTCACTCCTTCACGGTGTCACAGGCTTAAAACTCAGAAGGTAGCGAGTGGAACAAGCAATTAATCCACTGGGGACAGTGACTTGTTTCCCAGAAAGGCACCCTAAGGCCCCACTCACCGAGCTGTGGCCCATGCTGGCGGCCGCTGTCAGCGCCTGCTGCAGGGCTTGGCTCTTCCTCAGAGTGCCTGCTGAGGGAGGTCCTGCCGACCAGTCGCAGGTCAAAAGGTACTGGAGAATGTCACCATGGCCCCGCAGTGCGCTGTGGACGAGTGCACACTGGCCTTTCTTATCCAAGTGATCCACCTGTAGGGGAGGAGCAGGGAAGGGGCACAGCCAAGTGTCACCTCTCCTCCGATAACACAGGCACACCCCAACATTGTGTGCAAACCCCACCCGACTGAAAATCCACATCCCAAGTCATCTTTCTAGAAAGCACTGAATCTTCACTCGAATCACTTTGTGGTTGCACAAGCTCTATCCTAGGCCTCTGGTTCCCTTGGTAGGACTAGTGGTGTCAAACGCCCTCCTCATCCCCTCTTTCTCTCCCACTGACTACACTGAGCCCCAATTTCTCCTGCAAACATATATAAAGACACAGATCAAAATCTTGGATGAAGTCTTACACTCCCTAACTTGGTTGCTTGGGTTGAACATTAGACATCTGCTGCGAAAGGCTATTATTTAGAAAAATGGAATAGTTCTCTGATTGCTGACAGACCCAGAGAAATGGAGGGATCTGGAAACTCCAGTTCTGGACAAGTAAGGACAGGCAGGGAGTCTGCATGGCATCTGACTGGGAAAGGAAGCCACGCACAGGCAGGCAGCCTGGGATAGGTTATTGTGTGAAAGGGAAGGGTCACTAAGCTAGGGGGAGGCCAACTGGCCAGAAAGGGGTGTGTGTGAGTCCTGCTACCCACTACAGGCCCAAAGACAGCAAGCAGCCCATCACCCCCTGTCTAATCCTGGGAAGAACCAGGGCTAGGAGAGGAACCCAGGGCCCAGCCTTGCCATGCTTGCAAATTCTGGGGATTCCAACCCAGAGGCTTTGCAGGAACCACCAACATGACGAGGCCTCCTCCTACAGAGCTGCCAGCTGCAGAGGGAGGGGCTGGCTGGCCTCAGAGTAAGGGACAGCCTGGCTCTGGAAATGGAGGTGTGGCCACATGCTGCAGTAACTCTCACTGCAAAGGCTCAGCCCAGACTTCCTCCTGTGAGCTGATGTTCCTATGTCTCAAGTGTCAGAATTTTTAAAGAAAATGATAAAAAGGCTCCCATAGCTACTAAGTCTACTTTTTGTTGAATTTTAAATATCCTAATTAACTAAAAAATGAAACACAATCACAAGCAGTTAATTGTTATTCAAAAAGCACATTTCCCAACGAGATGCTTAGAGTAACCAAGAGTTTACTGTAAGCTCAGCATCTTTCTCATTTAATCTTTTAACACTGACAGTCCTAGAGTAACTTGTTGAATAAATACAGTTGCTTTGTATTAATGTTAATAATCTGATTTAGTGCCTACACG